CAAAACAGCTTTCCCTCTCCCCATCCCACCCTCAAACCCTCCCACCCAATTTAAGATTGGCCTGCAAGTCTATTTTAACCATTTAGTCATTTTTTATATTTATGAAAATAAATTATACAGCAACTATTTTAATAAATTAAGCACAAAAAGGGAGAGAAAAGGAGGAAAACCAAATGGGAAGACAAAAGCCAGGCCACACTTTGGCTTGGAGGAGGGCAGGGGTGGCTTAAGAGGACAGAGTGGTTGCAGGGGTGTCTGGTGAAAAATTGGCAACCACCTGAGCCCAGAATGACACCCCTCTTGAGTTTCTTAAAAACAACCAAAAAGTATAGCAGTGGTTGTGCCATGGGCAGCACCAGTTTTGGGCACCCCAACGACCGGTCTACCCAGAGCGGTGCCTTGGTTCTGCCTCTCCCTCAACGGAGCACCAGGGATGGAGTCATCAGACCAGCCTGCCCGCTCCACCTGAACTGGTTAGGGAGCTGAGGACACAGCTCTGAGCGCAGCTGTGTGTGCAGCACACGATCACCCTGGGTTCTGACGAGGAGTGTCCCGTTTTTCTCACATACTATCTCCAGGAGCAACTTCAATCGCAGTCCAGCTGCAACCAGACATTCATGTCTTCCCATCATGGCTGGCTGCCTTTTGCCTGCCCCTTGATGCTCCTTGGTGTTCTGGAGGAGGGGGTAGGAGAGGGGAAGGGAGCAGTTCCAGGTACCCTCTAAAACCCTCTGAAGATGAAATGGGAGTGAAGGCATGTCACACACTTAGCATGCAGGACTGGCTTCCCGGGAGGTAGATGAGAGTGGGAAGGGGGAAGGTACAAAAAGGACAGAAAAGGAGACAGGAAGAAATTAGGTGACACCTATCAGGAAGGCCAATCAATGAAAAGGACAAAGATGATATGAAATTTGCATGTGAATAAAGGTCCTTCTCTGACAGATTAGAGAATCAATATATTAAATGCGACTTATTCCTGTTTCTTAACCGCAGTTCCCGAGTCCCCAGTGCCTGTCTCTGTAGTTCAACCCCATCTCACTACCCCCAAGACTTTGTTCTTCATTTGCTCAAGCCCTCCTGTCATTTTGGGCTGAGCATGAAGCCTCCAGTGCCAAAACAGAATATGTCACAGGGACGTGCAGACTTGACCTTTGAGGTCCAATAATCCTAAAGCTATCATAGTGGGGCAATTTTTTCTTTTTTTTTTTCTTTTTTTTTTCTTTTTTAATAAAAAAGGTTTTACTCCCCAGGAGCAAATAAATCATTTTGAACTACTGATAAACACTGCTGCAGTGAAAAGAAAGATGGCTACATGTATGCAATAGCACAATTCAGTGTAAGAACAGCTGTGTTGACGATTAGAGATAAAAACTACTTATCCACCCCACACCAACCCAAACCAAGAGGATTCCCATAGGGAAAATGTCTAATTCAAAAGCTCCTCCCCTATGCACAGGGGGCATGTCATTCTCTTAGAAGTGGAAAACAAATCCCACCCTCCTCCAGTGGATATGCTTGCAACACCCGGACTGGTGACAAGACTTGGGCAAATGAAGACACACACTCACACTCAAACAGACTTGTAGACTTCCCTCCAAGAGCCACAGAGCTACATCTTGGAGCCTGGTTCTCTAAATTCCAGGCTCAAAAACTAAGGGAGAGGAAGCAGGGAAGGGAAAGATCTCACCTTGGGGGTTTGAAAGCTCCTCCTATCCACATTTCCTGCTGAGTTAGGGTGCTTAATAGGCTATACTCTGCTGGGGGCTCAGGGATGAGGGCTGAAAAGGCTGGCTCACCAGGGCACTTCCAGCTTTCCAGTTTCTTATACCTGGATCTGGGTACTCTGACCACTCCTGACCCCCCAATCCTCCTGGGGTATACACTGGAGGAGTGTGTGCAGTTTGTCACTCCCAAACTCAATAAGAGCCTTACACAATCAGCCCAAGTGAAAATTAGGAAAGAAGGCAGGAGGAGGAACCACAGAGGCAATTCCCTGCCAAATCTCTCTCCTCAGGGACTGGCACAGACATACACGGCTCCCACTGCAGGATGCTACATTCTCTTCATCTTCACAGGTGGGACACCAGGCCAAGGCTATTGTCAATGGTCCTATGCTCCTTAAGGGCCAGTGACAGGCATTTATCTAGCCCCCCACACCAAAGTGCCACCCTTCTACTCCTGTGCTCTCAACATAGCACACGTATTTCAAGTAATGGCAGGTTGTAGCAGTAGTTGTCACTAGCTCACATTGGCTCATACCTGTCCTGAGGAAGATTACAGCAGATCAGTCATAAATAGGTGAAAGTCACACAAGCAGGGCCTGAGGATACTAACATCAAACAACTTAGAAATCAACAGTGGGTCCCTAGAGAAGAGAGCCTTTCCCAGTTTGTGACTTTAATTTGTAACAACCAGAAAGGAATGAGTTCCTTCTGTACAGTGCATTTCAATTAGTAGTGCACAGCACTGGCAAAGAGTGAAGGCCAAGTACTGGCCACTAGCCCTGCTCCTGCTCCCTCTGCTCTGCTGACTCTTTAGCCAGCATGCACTTTTCACTGCCCCAGATGCCACCCTCATTCCTTGCCTAACTTGCTCTACCCAAGGTCACCCTTAMAGCTGTCAAATACCCATGCATGGTGGAGACTCTTGTGCAGTTTTGTTTTGCAGCCCAATCTATTGAAGAAGGATCAGTCTATAGTCTGAGCGTGCCTAAGCACAGATGGACCATAGACAGAGTTCAATACTTTTCCAAGGAGGACAGAGAAGGTGGGTGGTGAGGTGAGGCCATTCATAGCTGGTTTGATTTTTTACCTGAGTGTATGAATTATCCAGTGGAAACCCCAGCACCATGGTGGGTACAGGGGCTCTGCTTCCCTCACAGGGCCTGAGCTGACAAGAATAGTGAGGTCCTGGGCAATGTACAGGTACCCTGCCAACTTTTGGTTTTGACTTTTAACCTCATCATTATAATCCCTCAGTTTCCAGACCTATCTGAAGATTATGAAGTTTCAGTCCCGACGATTGCACTGAAATAGGGTTTTTTAATGTCGTTGCTCTGAGTAGGGCTACGCACTATTCAGTACACGCCGCACAGACTGCTGTTTCCTTGCTTTTGTTCATGTGTTTCTCTTCTCATGGTACTGCCCCCTCCTATAACCCAAAGCCTCACTGCCACAGAGCTTTCCTAGACCATCTGGTCTCCCCCGAACTCACCCACTCTGCACGTCATGATTCTCTGCCACAATGAGTCGCTCTCCAGTTGCTTCATGTGTGGCAGTCACCTGAAAGCTCCCTTAGGTAAGGATCATGTCTTCTACCTCTTATGTTTTCCACAGTATCTAGCCCAGAGCCACATACACTCTAATTTTAAAAAAAAGTATTAATAATGAGTGGCTAAAATGACAGAAAAACAATCCCAGGCAGTTGCATATTAGCCACTCAAAGAACATCAATGGATTCCAGACTTCAGGCTCTACAATGGAGTGACTGTTTTTATAAGATGGAGAGTGACTTTACCCTCCAGAGGCAAGACTCTGGAGGTTTAGTTGAACTCTGGGATCCCAATCTTATTTAGTTAGTAATACTTCCCTGGAGACCAAAGAAAAAAGGTATACCACAGGACATATCAGAAGTAGGAGAGGTTTGTGCTGCAAAGCTCATTTTTGGGCCCATTTCTTTATGGCCAGGTAATGATTCAAGTTTCCCCTATATTCAGCTACAAGAAGGAAGACTGGACATTCTATGCAGGGTATAAGGTCAAAGGCCAGTGCTTCCAAATGAGGCAGTCCTATAAATTACTAAGACACTGGAGTCTCATCCCAAACTATCAGCAGACCACAAACCTGATTTATCTTGCTGAAGCAGAAATAAGCACAGGGGACCCAAGTTTGGTGGAACAYTTCCTGTAGAAAAGTAATAAGACCCAACAGCCCAACTATGCTATGACATCTCAATAGCAAACCTCTCTGTAGAATAACTGGAGGAAAGCAAACTCACAATGTTTTATAATTTGACAATGATCAGGTGCAAAAAACTTAAAGACGACTGAAAAGTACTGAGTTTTTCTCCTTCCCCTTCCATATTCACCTAGAAAACAGGCAACTCTCAAATCAGCATCTGACAAGACTTCCCAAAGAATGGAGGGCAAAGGAAACTGACTCAGGAAATGTCTGGGTTGCTAGAATGAATGCAGGAAAATGAAGAAGCCCTTGCTACCTCCCGTCATAGAAGTGGCACGACAATGATAAACCTAAAAACACAAGATATGACGCTCTCTTCCCCTGAACTAAGGAAATCCCATTAAGGCTGGTACATTCAAGGTTTCTTCTAAGAAGAGCACAATAGCTTTGCTTCTCACCTTCCTCCACATTCCCTCTCACTCTCTGACAGACATATGGAGGTAATGCTGACTCCTAAATCGTAGATAGAGTTTTCCATGAAGAATCTGGAAGCATGCTCCATTAAACACGGAATGACTCCATGACTAGAGCTCTGAACTACTCAGGTGATGAGAAACACTATTTTCTTGACAGCTGGTGAAAGCAATAGGAATGATGTTCCCATGACTGGAGTGAAATGTACAATTACCTCAGAGGAAGGGACTAAGGAGGGTGAAGGGAAAACAGGGTTAACTTCAGGTCTTAGAGCTTAAGGAATTAAGTAAAACAAAACAAATACAGCTTCCAAGAGAGGTGATTCTGAAGTTAGGTTCCTAAACCCTAAAAAGGAAAGGATGTAGGGAGTCACTACTTCCTCTAGCAAAGGCCATTTGCCAGTTTTTATCCAACAATCTTTTCTTCCAGACTACCTGCCCTCCTTTCTCTCCTACTAAAGCTAACAATGAGAAGCAGATTCTCCTCCCTTCCAGCTTCTAATCCTGTTTGCACTTCTCTGGCTTCTCCTCCATAATGCAAAGTCCATGGTGAAGACCCTAACTCTACCTTTGGCACCAACTGAATGTGAATGGTGCCTCCTTTCCTCCCTGCCCTTCTTTGGACCTGCTCACCCTTTACACCACTTCCAAAACCCAGCTGCCTTTAAGGTGAGTTTTCCATACTGAGAAATGCAAATATTGAAAACAAAACTTCTGAAAACAAACAGTGTTGAGACTTCTTCCAGTTTTTCAAAGAGCTCATCTAGTTCTGGGATACCATGGGTGGATATGAATGGTGGAGTCCCCAACTCAGACTCTGGTTGTGTGCTTCTTCCAAGCCCCAGGGGCTGCAGGAGAAACCATAGTCTTTGAACATAGAATCCCAAACCTTCCTATTCTTCTTTTCATGGTAGCTTCAATTGGTTCTTCAAACTGGAGCTTGGTAACCAAATGCCTAGGTGAAAAAAAAAAAAAATATATATATATATATATATATATATTAGACCAGTTCAACAGAGTAGAACCCAGATAGAACAAAAGACCTAGCTGCTAGAGGTGGAGAAGCATATCTCAAAAGGAGAGTAGTCACAGAGCTTGCCTATAGTCCTAACTGCTCAGGAGGCTGAGATGGGAGACCAGTTGAACCCAGGAGTTCAAGACCAGCCTGGGTAACATAGCAAGACCCCGTCTCAAAAAAATAAAAAAACAGAAAAAGGAAAACGAAGCCTGGATAGCCAAATGCTTCCACACATATTATATCTGGCTGAGAATGTGATAATGGTACTGTTAAAAGGGTCTTAGAAGCCCATGACTTGATTGCCAAAATAGATGCTTTTTTTTTTTTTTGATTGGGGATTGAACTCAGGGGTGCTCGACCACTGAGCCACATCCCCAGCCCTATTTTGTATTTTATTTAGAGACAGGGTCTCACAAATTGCTTAGTGCCTTGCTGTTGCTGAGACTGGCTTTGAACTCATGATCCTCCTGCCTTCACGGTGAGTTTTCCACACAGAGAAATGATAATCTCAGAATGATAATAATCCCAGAGGCCTCCCAAGCCTCTGGGATTATAGGCATGTGCCATTGTGCCCAGCTTTTTTTTTTTTTTTTAAATTAGTATTTTTTTTTAAATATTTATTTTTTGGTTAGACACAATACCTTTATTTGTTTATTTGGGTTTTTTTTATGTGGTGTTGAGGATCGAACCCAGGGTCTCGCACATGCTAGGAGAGTGCTCTACCGCTGAGCCACAACCCCAGCCCCAGCTTTTTTTTTTTTTAAACAGTGCTGGGGATCAAACTAAGAGCTTTGAGCATGCTGCTAGGAAAGTGCTCTATCACTAGGCTATATCCCCAGCCTTCTAGGTTCTTTCTCTAGGTTAATTGTAGGCTTATTTGCTTTAGGTTAATCATATTTCTGGTCCTCTCAGTTACTTTCTGTAGGATGAATTCAGAGTCCTCCACTGCCATGAGGCCTTTCTCTGATTGAGCTCCTATTTATGTGGGTTCTTCCCAGGACATAGCACTCACAGAATTGGTGCTTTTTGCTGAAGGGTTCTATTACCCTTTAGCAGAGCAGTCACAGAGGTGGACTCCCATGTTCTAAACTACCTTCCCACCCCATTCTTGACTGCAAAGCCACCACAAGGTTCTAGACATCAGAGCACTTGGATACATTTTAGGAGTTACTTCCAAAGCATACAGTCTGTATAATAGAAGATATGCATTATGGTTTGGATCTTTAATATCCCCCACAGGTCATGTGTTAAAAGCTTTAGTCACCAGCCTGTGGCACTATTTGAGGTGGGACCTAGAAGGAAGTTAGGTCACTGGGGGTGTGGATTTGAAAGATATATTGGGACTCTAACCCCTTTCTCTTTTTGCTTCCCGCCACCACGAGGTATGCAGCTTTGCTCTACCACACACTCTCTCCATAGCTCCAAAAGCAACAGAGCCAACTAACTTTGAATGGAAACCTCTAAAATTACTTAAGTTGTTCATCTCAAATATGTTGTCAGAGTGATAGAAAGCTAACACAGTATGATAAAGGAATGTACACAGAATCCAGGATTCCTTAAAACTCTGCAGCCTCTCAGAGTCTCCATTTCTTGGTCTCTCTTAGTCATCCCTTCTCCCTATTAATCCCTGTTAGCCTGGCTCACATGCTTTCCCATAGCAGCGCAGGATCTGGGATTTCTGGAGCAAAGAGAAGACAAAGCTAGGCTGACCTCAGTCATGGCTAAAGAAAATCCATGGGGGGCTGGGCATGTGGCTCAAGCATTAGCCTGGCATGCGCGGGGCGCTGGGTTCGATCCTCAGCACCACATAAAAATAAAATAAAGATGTTATGTCCACCGAAAACTAAAAAATAAATATTAAAAATTCTCTCTCTCTCTCTTATCATGTGTTTGAGACCAAGCTTAGCAATTTAATGGGACCTTCAGCTCTGAGCAAAACCCTGTCTCAAAATAATGAGAATGTAGCTCAGTGTAATATGCCCCTGGGTTCAATTCCCAGTACCAACCAACCAAACAAATAAACAAAAAGAAACAACACCCTACAGTAAGAGGAAAAACATTGTGAACTGGAAGAAGATAATAGAATGTGAACTCTTACTCTTAGCCAGCACCACCAGAATTAGCTCCCTGCAAGTCTGTTCCCTACTTGCCTTAACTTTTTAGTGTAACTTAAAAGACAAATTAGAATTCACATGCACAAACCAATATTTCAAGACATTTCATGAGAAAATAAAAGAGTAGAACTCAGTGTAGCAATGATAGAATAGCCTCTTAGAAAAATGAATTCCTCAGTTAATTCATTTAATTTATTCTCTTCAGCAATTTACTTTGCAGTGGCCCAAAGAGGACTTCAAATAGAAGGGCAGGATGTTTTTCCTCATCCCCATATCACACCATGAGACTAGGTGGAGTTCTCACTGAAGTGTGTGCCCATTACAATGAAAGGCATGTTTACATTCCCTTTGATGAAGTTTTCTTCCCCTTTGTTTTCCTGCTTTGTTTCCTACCTTGTATTGTTTGTGCAACCGCAAGGAGATAGGCAAGGCAAGTATGAGAGAAGGCTGCATTTAGCTACAACAGTGTGTCCTCCTCACTTATATTCTGTAATTAGCTGGCATGTTGCTTGGCAAATATTCTTTAAGCCTTTCATGTTTGTCTGCCTTTCTCCCAAATGGAGCATGTGCCCCCTTGGGGAGGTCATCTATCAGATTTGGTAATACTATGGGCAGATGCCTAGATCAGGGGTATCACATGGGGAACTGCCAGAGAGGGGCAGGTGTAAGGTTCAATGCATGGTAACTGCCCAAGGCTGAACATTAACACAGAGAGGTCCTACCCTTGGTGGTGACCAGCAGGGGGCCCCTCGCTACGTGGAGGGTTCCATGTCTTGCTTCTGTTTGGAAATGAGCTGCGCTTCCTTTAGAGACAAGTATACCTCTTCCTGAGGATCATAGTAGTAGAACTTTCGAATATAAGAGATCAGAGGTCTGTCAAAAAAAAACAAAAAAACAAGAAGGACACATATAGTGTTAATTGTACATAATGTTCTTACGAATGCTAGGCAAGCACTCTTCTACCTCTGAGCCAGCCCTGACTCCCTTACTCTTACCATTCCCACTGCACTCTTCAAAGAGCCTGCAGAGGGCCTTTTGGCTACAGTATGATAATTCTAGAATTAGGTGTTAAAATACTGCAAAGGTGAAAGGATATGCCTATAAATATTTTATGCCAATGTCTGCCTGTGTAAGCAGCCTGCAGGTATGACTGACATTTGTAATTTACCCCCCACCCCTTCCTGCCCCAATCCTATGTCCCCATTGTACTTAGGCAGTGGGAGATCCGGGATATGATCTATCCGAACGAGTTGTCGGATCCGGAATCTGCAAAGGTGCTGGAGGGATTTGACATTGCTGAATCGGGACACTGGATAGAGCAGCTGGACTGGAGTTGGTGGCAGTCCTTCAGGAATGAAAACAAAAGGAAATATTCAGAGGGAACAATGCAGCTGACCACAACTTCCTCATGAAAAGAATCCAGGGAAGGGAAATGGTGCTTCTTTATAGTTCATATATGTATTGTGCAAAAGTAGTTCAGTTACAAAAGGACCATGGATTTCCATTTGCAGAAGCAGCACTCCCATATTTCACATTGAAGGGGATTTATTCTCCCTCCTGAAGGTCTCCCCAGTATCATTCCCCACCCCCCAATACTGGGAATTGAACCCAGGGGCACTGTACCCTGAGCTACATCCCCAGCCTATTCTATTTTTTGAGACATGGTCTTGCTAAGTTGCCCAAGATGGCCTAGAACTTGCCATCCTCCTGCCTTAGCTTCCCAAGTCTCTAGGATTAYAAGCATGCGCTACTGTGTCCAGCTTCCCCAGCATAACAGTTGAGTGTCTTGCTCCACAGAATAGTCCAGTGAATAATGTCAAGCTAGAGACTTTGCCTAGGGCCTAGTGCCAATCTCAGGCCTATTGATCTCAGTGAATGGCAAGGAACAAAATCCTCCCCACTGGGAACTGGAGATACTTATTCAGCATTATCTAGCAGTACCCTGGTGAGAACTTAGACTGTTCCGAAGTGCTATGGTTTGGATATGGTTTGTTACACACCAAAGGGTCATGTGTCAGAAGCTTGGACCCTCTGTGGCAATGACAGGTAGAGTGGTAGAATCTTTAAAAGAAGGGGTCCAGTAGAAAATGATTACATCATGGGGCTCCATTCTTAGAAGGAATTGGTCTCCCAGGAGGGGGTCAGGTTTTTAGGGAATGATTATTTCCTTTAAGAACGGGCATCTTGCAGGGCATGGTAATGCATGCTTGTAATCCCAGAAGCTTGGGAGGTTGAGGTAAGAGGATTGTAAATTCCAAGTCAGCCTCAGCAATTTAGCGAGGCCCTTACTAAGAGAGATCCTGTTTCAAAGTTAAAAATCGAAAAAAGGTGGGGGTGCTGGGGATGTGGCTCAGTGGTTAAGCACCTCTGGGTTCAATCACTGATACAAAACAAAACAAAAAGAACAGCACCTCCCCTGAACACTTCTTCTGCACTCACTCCTGCCACTATCATGGAATCTGTTACTACAATGCCATCTACCATGAGGCTTTCACCAGAGCCAAAAAGATGCACACCATAATCTTAAAACAATGAGCTAAATAAACTTTTATTTATGAATACACAGACTCAGGTATTTTGTTACAGCCACAGAAAATAGACTAAGACAAGAGAGGTCCCCACTTAATTCCTGCTGGTAGTGGAGAGACTGATAAGTAGAAAGCAACAATTGGGATTAAATATCACAGGCCTATTACTTCGGCCATTTACTTCATGACAGGACAATCAATTTTAGCCAACTTTAATTCCCCACCATCACTCCCCTTTCTGCTTCTAAAGAGTTAACAGAAAGAGGAAAAAAGGAGGAAGATGTTTTTAAAAGAACAGCAACAGGCTGGAGACATAGCTCGGTTGGTAGAGTGCTTGCCTGGGTTCAATCCCCAGCACCACAAAAAAAAAAAAAAAAAAAWRAGAGAGAGAGAACAACAACTCCTGTAGTATGGGCAAGTTGAAATTAGTGCTACTCAGTGCAAAAGCACTGGGTGACCAACACCAGCCAGGCTCAATGGGAGCACCACACCCTAAGCTAGCAGCAGGCACTGTGTTGGGGAATCTCAGCCTTTGGTGAGTTATACCACATAACAGACACCTCTACCCAGAATGGCGGAGACACTGAAACAGGTTCAAAGGAACTAAGAATATTTTGGTTTCAATAAACAAAGGGACCATACTAGATAAACAAGCAAACTATTGTGAGAAAGAATCAGAAATGAAAAACATTTTCTCAGTCATTGTTATATCAAAAGAAATTCCGTGGACATAACTGTTTGGAAAAGAAAATATCCACTACTACTGGGGCTTAGTTTCATACCATTTATATATTTTATTTAAAGGCATGAGAAGAAGAAAGGCTCACGACTGTCTCCCAAAAACCTTTCTATGGTTGCTGACAACTGACATTTTCAATAAACAAAACCAACCATACTATACTATTACTAAGCAAGTAGACTTACCTTTAAAAACATTTAATTCAAAACTATACTTAAAAGCTTGGAGTGAAGCATATGCTTATAATCCTAGAGACTCAGGAGGCTGAGGCAGGAGGATTATGAATTCCAGGCCAGCCTCAGCAACTTAGCAAGATCCTTTATTTTTTATTTCAAAAATAAAAAGGACTGGGGATGTAGCTGTGGTAGAGCACCACTGAGTTTAATCCCTAGTACTGAAGAAAAGAAACCAAATCTATACTTAAGAGACAGAGCTGGGCGTAGTGGAGCACACCTGTAATCCCAATGGCTCAGGAGGCTGAGACAGGAGAATCACGAGTTCAAAGCCAGCCTTAGCAATGGTGAGGCACTAAGCAACACATTGACACCCTGTCTAAATAAAATACAAAATAGGGCTGGGGATGTGGCTCAGTGGTCAAGTGCCTCCAAGTTCAATCCATTCTACCTATGAAGAAACTGAGGCCCACTGAGCTTAGAGATCCTGCTCATGGTACAGAATCAATAAAAATGGCCTGCCTTGAACACCTGTTCTATCTAAGGAAGAGTTAGCGGTGGTTCTGCCACAGCCCAGGGAACCTCTTGAAGGGGTTCTCCAGGACTGTCCTTAGAGAGCCTGCCCCTCTGACAGTCAGGTAGTCCAGGACAGTTATAGCACTGTTTCATGAATGTTCTAGTCTCTTCCCGATCACTCTCATGCTTTACAACTTATTTTGAAACACTTCAGCCCTTCCATCCTGATGTGGTTGGTCCTTTCCATTAAAAGAAAAAAACTCAGAGAACGAATAAGGTGGCATATGCCTATAAATCCCAGCAATCTGGGAGGCTAAGGTAGGAGGATCATAAGTTCTGACGGAGCAATTAAGCAAGCCCTAAGCAGCTTACTKAGACCCTGTTTCAAAATAAAAATAAATAAATAAATAAATAGGGCTGCAAATGTAGCTCAGTGGTAAAGCACCCAATCCCTAGTACTCCTCCCTGCCCCCCCCAAATTCATACATGAATTTCTCTTGAACATATTAAGTATCTTTAAAAAAGTTATCTTGGGTTCAAATGCCTCTTTGAATTTATCCTTTTCCTCACTGGTATTATAACAAAGAGAAAGCTTTGTGGGATTGCTTATAATATTGCTAAATTCAGCATAATGTTTCAGAGATAAAAGTAATTATGTATCTAATCATTTATTCTCAAAGATATAGTGCTATACAACTTATGTTTAAACAGATCAGGATAATAAGCAACACAAAATTATCTGATTGTTTGCTTACTTGGATTTTAATGACCACATAAACTTGCCTCTTTAATTGTATTCTTTTTAACCTTGAGGTTCACAAATAGCAATTTGAAACCTGTTAACCTTCTGATATTCATTGGTGTCAACCTGACCATTTTACTGTTTGCCCCCAAATACAGCAAATGATTATTGCACTCTCATAAATCTAGAACATGTTAACAGAAGAGGTTAGAAATGTTAAGAAATCTACCAGATATGTATCAAATAAAGGAGCTTTAAGCACAGTGTTTAAAAGTTCCTAAAGAGGCCAGGTATGGTAACAAATATCTGTATCAGTTTGACTTGGGAGGTTAAGGCAGGAGGATTGCAGTTTGAGACAAGCCTGGATAACTCAGGAAGACCCTGTCTCAAAAAGGACTGAGGCATAGCTCAGTGATAAAATGCCCCAGGCTCAACTGCAGGAATGAGGAAAGAAAGAAAACAAAAACAAAAGAAATGGAAAGAAATCCAAGATAAGACACCAGTGTAGCTGAAAGGTAAGAGTGAGGTGGAACACTAATGAGCAACTTTCCTCTGATTCTCATTTCAGGAGTTCCTGGCACAAATCCATTTCCCAGCCATGCTGCTATTTTTCTCTTCTCCCCAACAAATGCCAAGTTAAGGGCAAAAAAATATCTTCCAGGTGTGAGCACCCTAAACACCCAGGATTGTTCTGCTCCCTGAATTCCAGAATCAGATCAGGAACCACATTTGCTTCACAATCAGGGGTCTCTTCCCCTGCCCCCATTACTAGGGATTGAATCCAGGGGTACTTTATCACTGCACTACATTCCCAATCCTTTTTACTTTTGAGACAGGGCCTCACTAAATTGTTGAGGCTGGCCTTCAACTTGCAATCTTCTTGCCTTAGYCTCCCAAATAGCTGGGATTACCAGGTACACCTACTGCACTTGGCTAGGTCCTCTTTTTCTTAGAAACATAGAGGATAAATTTTCTTAGAAATGTAAATATAAAGAGAATAAACTAGGGAAGCTAGGTGACCATAAATTGCCTGTAATCCCAGCAGCTTGCCAGGCTCAGGCAGGAGGATCGAAAGTTCAAAGCCAGCCTTAGCAAAAGTGAGGTGCTAAGCAACTCAAGTGAGACCCTGTCTCTAAATAAAATACAAAAATAGGGCTGAGGATGTGGCTCAGTGGTTGAGTGCCCCTGAGTTCAATCCTCAGTAATAAACAAACAAACAAACAAATAAAATAGATAAATAAAAAAATAAAAGGCCAAGGGTCAAAGAAGTTTCAACTAACAGTGGCATACTATTAATATCCCACTCCATTGTCCAACTTAAGAAAAACTGCAATGTGCCAGGTATAGCGGCACATGCCTGTAATCCCAGCAACATGAGAGGCTAAGGCAGGAGGATGCCAGCCTCAGCAACTTAGTGAGACCCTATCTCAAAATGAAAAATAAAAAGGTCTGAGAATGTAGCTTGGCGATAAATCCCCAGTGGGTTCAATTCTCAGTACTAAATCAAACCAAACAAACAACTGCAATGTAATGAATTATTGACAATGCAAATTTCTGGGGTGTGAGAGTAGGGGTGGGAGGGAGATTCATTCTTCCTTATATAATCTTACAGAGTATTTGGCCTTTTTACATCTACATGTATTTTCA